AGGGGAAGAGAAGTCACAGCATCAGCATTAATGTCACGGAAGCTTTGCTGTTCAAGCTTGCCCTTGCCTTTCCCTTGTCCTCACCTCTCACTGAAGGTGGATGGGGCTCCCAGACACTGTAGATGGATGGTCTGTGGGGGTTGGCAGTTGGGTTACTTCAAGCAATTCTGTCCCATGTCTAGGAGGTGGGTACCTGACACTGAATTCACTCCAGCCACCCGGTGCGTGAGAAAAGAAGCATTTAATGCTGAAATCTGAAATATTCTGCAACTTCATGACAATTATCCATGCTACAAAGGGCCAGATTATGATTTTGTTGTTCTCTGTTATATCTAGGAATATCTGTTAGACTGAACTAGGTGGTGTTCTATTTCCTCACCATGGCAGAATTTGCAAATTCTCTTGGCACAGAGATGTTTAGGTGTATTTTTTAGTATAAAACGGTGTAATCCCTACAGGAAGTCAGTAGCTCGTTAATGACACTAAGATGTTTTACTTCTCGTGGTATGAAGTTCTCAACATTTTGACCGTGCTGCACCTCACAATACTTAAAGATGCAGGGAGCATGTGTTCTGAGATTGTGTCTTGCTCCATACCCACCTGAACAGTATTTATCCTCTTTTTGCTATGCTGCAATCGGCTCTAATTGAGTGATCGAGCTCACACTTTCTAGGGCTCCATAATCTATACATTACCTCAGCTGGGCTTTTATAACCTTCATTTACTCTGAAATTCACAGGTAGAACTCTCATAGCCTTGGCAGAGAGTCAGGGAATCCCTCTGTTTTGTCCCTTATTGTTACCGTCTTATGTGCTTGCTCACTGTGCCAATGTCCTTTTTTCATTTCCCTGTAGTGTTTTGGCAGAAACAATGGACGCCTCAATTTGATCACTTCACTGACATCAGTAGATGTGTCCTCTAGATCTGGGTTTCTTAACTTTGCCATTAGTGATGTTTGGGGCTAGATAATTCTTGGTTATGTGTGGTTGCAGGGGAAAGGGGTGCTGCGTTGTACATCGTAGGATGTAAACAGCATCCTTGGCCCCGATCCACTAAATGCCTTGAACTGGAACAACCCAAAATGCCTCCAGACATTGCCAAATGTCCACTGAGGGGCAAAATGGCTTCAATTGAGAACCACTCTTCTAGATGATACTTCTATATTACCTTCTAACCACTTTTATGTTAAAAATGTCATTTGAGCACAGTGGTTTACATGTATTCCTCATTATTCATCACCTCAACTATAAAAGGATACGATTAAACCTTTTCTTTCAGATGAGGAGATTGAGGTCCTGCCAAGTGATACACAGTTAATAAGCAGCAATATCAGGAAAACTTATTTCAAACTGATTGCTTTATATAATCTAATAGTCCAGATGGATACAGGCTTCAGAAAAGGCTTGATCCAGCAGTACAAAGACATTAAATGTGAACTTTATCCCCTCATACTCCTCTCACCTAATTTAATTTCTTAACTGCCTTTCTTTATCTTCATGTTTCACACCATGGCCTAGCAGCTCTAGACTTTCCCCTTATGGTAGTAGTTCATGTCATACAGCTTCACAATACCCCATCCAAAAAGAAGACACTTTTGTGGTAGCTCTACAGAAAGTTAACTCTGTTTCCTCTTACGCTTCAGAAAATATTTCATTGGTTCTCACTGAGTTATATGCCCATCTCTGAACCAATAGTTGCAGCTAGAAGGTTGAATATGTTGTTGGCTTTAGCCAATGAACGGTCTACCCTAGAGCAATGGATAGGGTTAATCCCCCTCAAACTATGTACCCAAGGTGAGAAGTGGTTTTTCAAGGGATGTTAGAAGTATAATCCCAGAAGATGAAGACATGGATGCTGGGTTGGGGACAAATAACATGCTTCTACCCCGATTTTGTTAACATTCCTCCTACACTTGATCATTTTCGTTATTTAACACTACCCTCTCCCTGTTCTATTTTTGCAACTTTACCATAGCCCTGTTTTCTTTTTTTCCTATCTTTCCATAAGTTACTGGGGTACAGGTGTATTAGGTTGCATGAGTAAGTTATTTCGTGGTCATCTGTAAGATCCTGGTGCACCATCATCTGAGCAGTATGTGCTGCACCATATTTGTCTTTTATCCCTTGCCCCTCTCCCACTCTTCTCCCCAAGTCCCCAAAGTCCATTGTGTCATTCTTATCATAGGCCTGTTTTCTTTGGTTGACATTGCTGGAAACTCCTTGAGATAAGTGTTCAGGGACACCCCATTAGTCAGGAAAGAACAGTATGGTGGACCCAGATCCATGGGTCCCACCCTGCTCTTTGGTGAGGCTTTCCCAGCTGGCTCCTATGGAATGGCTTGAACCTCTGGCTCACAGGGACTCCTTGAAGGGCAGAGCCAGACTGAACCCCCTGCAAGTAACACAGCACTTCATTCTTCCAGGGGAAAAGAAAGGAACTTACCTTTTTTGAGCGCTTACTGCATGCCACACCAGTCACATACACCATGTTCTTTCCTACAACCTCCCTGAGGTAAGTATTGCTATCCCACTTTACAAATGAGCAAATGGAAGCTCAGAGAGGTGAAATAACTTTCCCCAAATTATACCACCTGCAGGAAACAGTACACAGATTCACACTGATGACTGCTTCACTCTGAAGCCTGTGCTTTTGTCTCCAAAAGTGAACATCTTAGAAGAATATACATTTACAAAGAATATACATTTGCTAAGAATCGGTTACTTATCAGGCAATGTGCTCAACACTGCTTGAATAAGACAGAACACAAAGCCTTTTCCCTTTTCCCAAGGATTAAATGAATGGAAGAAGGAAAGAAAATAGGAAAGAGAAAACCCCTGTGTAATGGAGGGATCCTTAGCCATTCTAGTAGTAAAGAAACCATGTAGAAAATCAGCATCAACGTATAACAACAGCATCTGTAGCAATGGTAAAACAATTTCTTCACCAGGAGTGTAATGCGTGACTTCTTTAGGTAATGACACCAAGTCCTCAGAGAAATTAGCAGCAGCTGGGGCAGCCCTGCAGCAACTTGGTAATTGAAGTAACACCCGGGAAACTGGGCAAGCCAGCACTATGTACACGGTCCCATTATAAGGTGACTCAGCTCTCCCCTCAGGTTGGTGTGTCCTAGGGGAATTCCTGTTAGGCGATGTGCCAATACACACCAGCATGGTTTTTGCTAAAAGGCAAATGCTGCAGTCTACCATTTTTCCATCATGTCTCAGAGAATATGGGCAATTGTATGTGATTTGGCTTGTTCTACAGCTAGTTTAGAGCAGGAGCCCTCAAATTGGGTTCTGCAGAGGTCTAGCCTTCTGAGAGAGAGCCTTAAAGATGGTATGAGGTGGGGCCAGGAGGGAGCCTGTGTGCTTTTTCTTCACTGCTTCTCCTGGGGTATCTCCGCTTCAGTATGTTTCTAATACTGGAGTTCTATGTCAGATTGTGTCTGTGAAGTACATTTTACACTAACAAAGGTTTAAAAGCCATATTCCTAGAAGGAAGCACATATCTGCCTCTGAAATGCCTAAGTTATTCTGAGAATGACAGATCCCAAAACAATATGGAAATCAACTGCTGTGGAGGACACCAGCTGTTGGTGGCAAGTCTCTCCTGAGTTTGCATAGGAACAATAGTTTGTTGATATACAATAGTGTGGGCCACAACATTAAAAAAACAGAATTTCAAGAATTTGTTTGAGATGATTCATCATAAAGTGACCCCACCCCATGATATTAGATCCTTTCATTTATTTACCCACAGCCAACAGGACCTATAGTGATATATTCTAAGTAAAGCACCAGGACTTTAAGTGTTTGGGTTTTCTATTCCAACTGGTGACATTCAAAGGAGGCTACAGACTACCTCTCTCCCAACCTACCACCTAAGAGTGTGAAGAAATGCATTTAAGACATGGACTGGGGCCAGGTGCAGTGGCTCACATGGGTAATCCCTGTGCTGTGGGAGACTGAGGTGGGAAGATTATTTGAGGCCAGGAGTTTGAGAGTAACCTGGGCAACAAAGTGAGACCCCATCTCTACAAAAAAAAATTAAGAAAAAATTTTAGCTGGGCACCATGAGATGAACCTGTAGTGCCAGCTGCTTGGGAGGGTGAAGTGGGAGGATTGCTTGTGCTCAGGAGTTTGAGCTTTCAGTGAGCTATGATGGCACCACTGCACTCCAGCCTGGGTGACAGAGTAAGACCCTATTTCAAAAAAAAAAAAAAAAAAAAAAGACATGGGGAAATTATGCTATATTTTGAGATAACTTGAGTTCTCCTGAGAAGTAATGAAATGGCATTTGTGTAAAATCAAACAACTGATCACTTTACTTCTGTCAATTTAAAGAAAATGATGTATGAATATTGATATGGTTGGGCTTTGTGTCCCCACCCAAATCTCATCTTGAATTGTAATCCACATAAGCCCCACATGTCACGGGAGAGACCAGGTGGAGGTAATTGAACACATTGAGCTCTTTCTGAGTGCTCTTGGACCTAGGGTTGGGGTTTATAAACAGAATAGGGGAGATCTGAGGGTGCAATGCTATTTGAAAACGCAGGTCTTCAAATAACATTGCCTCATTACAATGTTGATGAGGGAAAAAAATTGATTCCTGGTCAGTGCTGTGGTCTGGTTGAAGTTTGCATACTTTCTCCATGTCTGTGGGTTTCCTCTGGGTACTCTGCCTTCCTTTCACATCCCAAAGCTGCGCACATTAGGTGAATTGGTGATGCTACGTGGTCCCAGTCTGAGAGTATGGGTATGGTGTGAGGGCACCTTTCCATGGGATGGCGTCCTGTCTGGGCTGGTTCTTGCCTTGCACCCTGAGTTGCTGGGATAAATAATACCAACCCTCAACCCTGAGTATATAATTATCTTTTTATTAATATTTCTTAAATGTATGTAAAATTTACATTTCTTGCAATGCTTAATATTTTAAGTGTTTTGATATCTTGCTTTGGAAGCTTGGTGATAGTTTTGTAACCGGAAATGTGCCATAGGCACTTAGCTCTAGTTTATATCAATTAGGCTACGGTAAAATTGGCTTTGTTATACATCATTTTGCTGAGAGTCACAGTTTCCAAGATCTTGTTGATGATAAGTGAGGATTTACCATGTTAGTATGTTTGTTAATTCATGCATGTTAGCATGAATTTGTGTTTGTGCAGGAATCTGTCATTTGGACTCATTTAAGGAATGAATTTTGCCAGCAATTCCTCCTTAAGTGAGAAGAATCATTAAGTCAATTTCTTTAGAGTACATGACATCTTTAATGTTTCTTATGGCCCATTGGTGGAGTGAAATATTACCACTGCTCACACTGTGGCTTCCCTAAAATAGCAGGCACTGCAGATGGATTTAACAAGAGCCATGCCTCACCTCTCTGTGCAGGGTTGACTGGCTCATTCCAATTCCACACAGCTCACCCAAAGCAAGAGCTGGACCACTGCCATACAAGGATTCACCCATAAATTCCTGTTTTCCAGAATTTCTCATCCCAATTGCAGAAACTTGTGCAGCGGAACATGAAGCAGGAACATGCAGTGAAAATAACTCCAAATGAACAAAGAAAGAAGGGCCCAAAGCAGTCAGACTGTGATGGTTTTGAAATGTCACACACCCATGCTTATACATTGTGTTCACTCTTAGAGGCTTCTTACACCCAGTTACCATTATCCCTCACCCCCTGCTGTCCCCTCTGTCTGTCTAACCAAGCAATATAATTTAAATGTGTCAGATATTAGAGACAGTGATTTGGTGATCATTAAGATGCTTTGTAAAAATGATAGATCCTCTTCTTTTTACCAAACCAGTTGTCAATATTGAGGCTTAGAGGATGTTTAGGATCAACCCATCAATACCCCTTAGTTTGCATCTGGGGAGACTGAGGCCCACAGAGATTAAAGTCATTTTTCCTAGATCATACAGTAAGTGAGAAAACTAAGGTCTAACCTCAGGTGTCCTGACTCCCAATTCAATGTTCTTTCTACAGAACCAAAGAATCCATGGCTTATTTTCATAACTTTTCAATCTCATTTCCTGAGCTTACCCTCCGACACAATGGTTTAGCTGCTTGCACTATGAACAACTATCATGGTAGCTTTTCCCAAAGGTGGTTTTCCTGGGAATCCTTTTGCTTATGTGGCAGAACAATATTTAGATAAATTAATTTGTGCACACATGTGTGTTTATTTCCTCTCTCACTCATCTCATCTCATTCCATTTCAATACCAAGCAAGTAGCCAGGGCTAGAGTGTGCCTTATTAATTACAGAGATATATGCCAAGGGAAACAGCTGAAGCTACTGAACGTTACTGATTGTTCTTGTTGTCTTAGGCTGTTTTTGCTACTATAACAAACGGCCATTAGACTGGGTGGCTTATAAACAAAAGAAATTTATTTTTCATAGTTCTGAAAGCAGGGAAGTCCAAGATCAAGGCATTGGTAGGTTCAGTGTCTGGTGAGGGCCCTCTTTCTAGTTCATAGATAACTGTTTTCTCCCTGTGTTCTTATGTGGCAGAAAGGAATGAGAGAGCTTGCTGGGTCTCTTATAAAGGAACTAATCCCACTGATGACGGCTTCAACCCCAAGACCTAATTACTTCCCAAAGATCTCACCTCCTAAGACCATCCCTTGGAGGCTGGGATTTCAACATGTAAATGTGAGGAAAACACAAACATTTAAACCCCAGCACTTGTGTTTTATCAAAGCTTATATTCTTTAAAGTGGTTATCCTGGGGTACCTGAAGGGGCAGGAAGAGAAGAGGCATGTCCTTGAGGGTCAGAAGGGAGAAAGAAGAAGCATATTCTCCAAAACTAGAAAAGAGAAACAAAATGGGTAGGTCTTTCTATTAATGGAGACATACGTCCTCTTGGGTGGCAGGTCTTCTGTGAGGTAGGAGGACCTCAAAGGTGATGACCACATGGGAGCACCAAAGGAGTCTGGACCTTGGACCCTGCAGCTCCAAGCCCCAGGAAAGGTCCTGTGCCCTAATTGTGACACAGAAGCAGCAGAGCCATGGGAACTTGAAGGAATTGTGTGGGCTGCACACAAAGTGTTGCAGAGCTAACCAGTATAGATCAGCACCTTGAGGGCCTCCTTGATGCACTAGGTCCCGTAGAGGAGCCCCAATAATCACAACTGGGAATACATTTCCTATGGCCTAATGTGATGGTGGCTTCAGTGCCAGATATACATTGACTTTAAAAAGTGGAGAAATATAAAAGTGCTCCTTTTTCTCTGCAACCTCACCAGCATCTGTTGTTTCTGGACTTTTTAATAATTGCCATTCTGACTTGCATGAGATGGCATATTATTGCGGCTTTGATTTGTATTTATCTAATCATCAGTGATGTTGAGCTTTTCTTCATATGTTTGTTGACCACATGAATGTCTTCTTTTGAGAAGTGTCTGTTCATGTCCTTTGCCACTTTTTAATGGGGTTGTTCTTTTCTTGTAAATTCGTTTAACTCCTAGTAGACTCTGGATATTAGATGGATAGTTTGCAAAAATTTTTCTCCCATTCTGTATGTTGTCTGTTCACTCTGATGATCGTTTCTTTTTCTGTGCAAAAGCTCTTTAATTAGATTTCCATTTGTCAATTTTTGCTTTCATTGCTATTGCTTTTGGAGCTTTAATCATGAAATCTTTGCCCATGCCTAAATCCTGAATGGTATTGTCCAGTTTTCCTTCTAGGGTTTTTATAGTTATGGGTTTTACATTTAATCTATCTTGAGTTAATTTTTGTATAAGCTTTAAGGAAGAGGTCCAGTTTCAATTTTCTGCATATAGGTAATGAGTTCTCCCAGGACTATTTATTAAATAGGGAATCCTTTCTCTGTTGCTTATTTTTGTCAGATTTGTTGAAGATCAGATGGTTGTCAGTGTGTGGTCTCATTTCTCAGTTCTCTATTCTGTTGCATTGGTCTATGTGTCTGTTTTGGTACCAGTACCATGCTGTTTTGGTTTCTATAGCCTTAGTTCCACCATTGTGGAAGACAGTGTGGCGATTCCTCAACGGTCTAGAACCAGAAATACCAGTTGATTCAGTAATCACATGACAGGGACTATAAGGTATATAAATCATTTTATTATAAAAATACATGCATGCATATGTTCATTGCAGCACTATTCACAATAGCAAAGACATGGAATAAACCTAAATACCTATCAGTGGCAGACTGGATAAAGAAAATGGGGTACATATACACCATGGAATACTTTGCAGCCATAAAAGGGAATGAGATGGTGTCCTTTACAGGGACACGGATGGAGCTGGAAGCCATTATCATCAGCAAACTAAAGCAGGAACAGAAAACCAAACACCACATGTTCTCACTTACAAATGGGAGCTGAACAATGAGAACGCGTGGACACATCGGGGGAACAGCACACACTGAGGTCTGTCTAGCAGGGGTGGTGGTGGGAAGGAGAACATCAGGGATAATAGCTGATGGATGCTGGACTTAATACCTGGGTGATGTGTTAATGTGTGCAGCAAACCACCATAAAACACATTTACATATGTAACATACCTGCACATGTACCTCAGAACTTAAAATAAATGTTGAAGGGAAAAAAAGAAAAAAGAAAGAAATGGGTTATTCTAACACCTCAGTTTAGAGGCAAGATTTATATTATTTACATTGGTATTAAAAATTTTATCATTAAGCAAGTGTAGGTATTACATTTACCTCAATAACTGGAATCTTAGCAACATTAAGTGTATAAAAAAAGCCCATCTTCAAAACTAATAATTTGCCTCTGATGATGTCTGTTTATGATGACATATTTTGCCCGTTCTATGAGGCCTTTTCTGACCAGACACACCCTTCTCTGGGCTATTGTTCTAATTTGGAAATGCATCTCTGATTGCACTTGACCCTTTGCATTGTCATTATTTATTTTTTAAATTTTTCATCTTTATATATGTGGGGGAGGCAAATGCAGATTTCTGGCATGCATATATTGCATAGTGATGAAGTCTGGGCTTCTAGTTTACCTATCAACCAAACAGTGAACATTGTCCCCAACAGGTAATTTTTCAACCCTCACTACCCACCCCTCACTCCCCCACCTGTCATAACACGTGATAAGACTATGTCCCTGGCCAGGCTTTAAGCTCATTAAAAGTTGAACTTGTGCTTTATCTTATACTGTATACTGCGATTTTCCTGCCTCAGCCTCCCAAGTAGCTGAAATTACAGGTATGTGCCACCACACTTGGCTAATTATTTATATTTTTAGTAGAGATGGGGTTTCATCATGTTGGCCAGGCTGGTCTAGACCTTCTGACCTCAGGAGATCCACCTCCTTGGCCTCCCAAAATGCTGGGATTACAGGCGTGAACCATTGCGCCCAGCCTGCTTTCCTTTTAACTCAGAGCTGACAAATTCAAGATGACTGCCTAGGATGTTTGAAATAATTTCTTATTGCTATCAGGGGCGCATGCGTGTACACACGCGCACACACACATATACACACATACGCACACACTCCATCAAGAAGTTCCTAGCTGTTTAGGGAGAACAGGTAAAACCAAACTAAATGATGAGTAAAGTAATGTTGCCAACTCCCCTACCCACATGCCCACTATAGGTGTCTCCTTCCAGGCCTAATATAAGCTCCTCACACTGACCAAAGCTCTGGTTCAAATGTCCATCATACACAGTAGGGATACAGTGGAACAAACCCTGGATTTTGAAAGCAAAGAGTGAGCTCCACCCTTTATTTAGGTCTTAGTTTCTTAAATTCCTTCACCTGTTAGTAGATGTAATACTTGCTTCACCAACTAGTGAGTTGGTGAAAATATATCACACTTAAAAGTGTAGTGTAAGTGTAGTATAAAAAAGGGGTTTTTTAAGACATTGCAAAGAATAGGTATGTAAAACAGATAAGAGGTAATTAAGCCTAGAATGTCAAATATAAAGAAGTAGAAAAGGTAAGTAAGTCTACTTAATAAATTTAAACAAAAAAAGAAAAACTGGAGAGAGGTTGAAATTGATAGTAAATTCCAGTGGAACTACTGGGATGTGATGTATTAGGGAAATGAGATTATTTAAAAGCAGAACCAACTGACTACACCATAAATGCTAGACTGAAAAGGGGGAGTCATAATCTAAAAGAGTTAAATCGTCAATTTTCTGCAGAAGTCGAAGGCAATGGACAAAGTGGCAATCAAATTTTTGGGAGAGTAGATTGACTGGAGAAGACCAATAGGAAGTTAATAGAAACTCACAGGAGAAAAATACAAAATAAGTGAGTTGAATGAATAAAATGAGGAAAGATTCCTCCCTCCCACCCACCTCAAGTCACTGTCTTATTTACCTAGAGTTAACATAAAATGTTTCATGAGTTGGAGCTCCCAAGGTGATTCATCTGACCATTTATATGACCTGCCTCATTCAAATTGGTCTGTTCTAAACTCAGAATTAAAAAAATTATTAGGTCTGCTTCTGGAAGTTTGTCTTGTTATCAGATCAAGAGTTTGATGTTGGATCCGAGCCACAATGACACATTCAGAAGTATAGTTGTATATTTAAATGACAAGTGTATCTGTAGTCATTCAGTAAAACAAAACAAAACAAAACAAAACAGTGCAGTGTGGTATTCAAAGATCAGTATTTTGCATCTTTTCAAATTTGCAGCATTCCCAAGATCTCAGAAACAGAAACAAAAGCTAGTTCTTATATGTGCCCTGTAGTCAATTTTGGGGCACTGATTACCTATTCCATGAGAATATACAAACTTTTAGAAAGTAACACTTTTTTCCATTTATGAAACCAATACATATAAAATACAGAAAAGAAAAACTCATCAAATGTTTAATCATTCATAGGAATTCATTTGTAATAAATTGATATATTTTCTTCCAATATTTTCTGTGCATATTTTATTTCACGATTGGGATCATGCTATATTTCACAGATGGCTTTTTTTTTCTTATCTTTAAAATAAGGGTATTTAAATACCCTTTTAAAATAAGGTACCCAATTCTAAAATGCTATGCATTTGAAAACTTCCATCTTTCAGTTTCTAAAACAAAATCTTACCACAGTCTTTAATAGGAAGTAAAATTCAGCAGCAAAACTGACCATAAATTTACAGAACCCATTCAGAAGGTCAGAGCCAGCAAAGTCAGCAGATTCTAATGCCTCTCCAATTTCTGTGCCTTGCCAAGTGACTGAAGTGGAGAGGAAATTTGACTATTGCCTTCTGACTTTAATTAATGTTTAATACTCAGTGGCAAAAGTGCACTTCCTCTTGTAAGTTCTCATTAAGTTCTTTTTGAGTCAGTTAACACTCTGTTTATAAAGATGTGGGTATTTTCTCTTAATTACTGTAATTTCGACTACTGCTGTAAAAATCGGTGCTCCATGTCACACTGTCAGAGATCATTACAGATGTATACTGGCTTCTCCCCTCCCTCTCCTGGAACCAATCCAATTAACTCTGGAAATTAAATGAGTTAAAAGGTTTAATAAAGAAAAGGAAAATCCAGACATACCATATCTCATTTCAAACCATTCCAGAATAAAACCAGGATGTGTTCATACGGATGCTGAACTGTATTGTTTAAACACTAAGGATATTGATATAGAGTTCTATTACTTACAATAAATTACTATAAATCCAATTCATTCCACTGAACAAGGATGACTTGAGATGATTGATGCTCACAGAAGCACATATTTTATTTTTAGTATTTCATATGGACAGACACCTGTAAAGGTTTAAACCCTGGCCTCTGTCCGTACGTTCACTTGTTTCTCCCCTGGGATGGACCAAGTTACGTGATTGCTAAATTTGGAAGAAGAACTAGGCATGCATAGCTCAGCATCTTCCTTTCTCCTTCCCCTTGGGAGCCAGATACCACAGGATACGTGTTCCTAGTCTGTTCCTTCTGTGTGGTGAAGGGCTGCAGTTTTCTAGCACTATCTGTGACTGAGTAGGCACATCTACCTAATTATGTGGTTCAGTATTAGGAGGTCCACTTAAGCCTCTAACCCAGCATTTAGAAGTAATGAGGGACTATTTCAGTTTCTCTCACACCCTCTCTTTCAACTGATTTAAAACCCACTGTGGGCTAAAGTGGGTGCTATTTTATCAACAACACCAAAACACAAAGGCTAGTTCCAAAACAAAACAGAGTTAAAACACCACACTTTTAGGCATTTTTAAAGTGTTTTTTTTTTTGGACTAGTCATTCTCTGTTCTGAATTTGCAGGGGTTTTTTTTAAGTCAATTCTGCCATACTCTCTGCCTTGTGATGTTTAATTCTGGATCTATTGAATAAAAAGGAAGAGACCTAGCTGTCAGTGGCCAGAATTGTCCCTGGCAGGAGGTTGATATTTGTCCTCTGTTGTATTAGGAATTACTTTCCCTATTAATGAATACTTGGTGAGGTTACGTGAATCATCCAAGCTTACACAGCCATTTAGCAGCAGAACAGGGGTTTGAACTGTCCAGCTCCAAGGCCAAAGTTTTTCTTCAGGAAAACTTTCACCATGTTCCTTCCTACAACCCCTATACCATGCCCAGTCCTTTCACTGTCCTGACCTTTGCGGGAAGGGAATAAAGAAATGGAAAATGGTGTCCGGGTTAAAAAAAAAAAAAAAAGAAAAAAAGACTGGGCATGGTAATTCACTCCTGTAATCTAAGCACTTTGGGCCGAGGCGGGCAGATCACCTGAGGTCAGGAGTTTGAGACCAGCCTGGCCAACATGGAGAAACCCTATCTCTACTGAAAAATACAGAATTAGCCAGGCGTGGTGGCACATACCTGTAATCCTAGCTACTTGGGAGGCTGAGGCAGGAGAATCGCTTGAACCGGGGAAGCGGAGGTTGTGGAATGCCAAGATCACGTCATTGCACTCCAGCCTGGGCAATGAGAGCAAAATTATGTCTCAAAAAAAAAAAAAAAAAGAAAAACTTATCAGAAGAGAGCAGTGGGAACCATCTGTAGACTGAAG